TTTCCCACACTGCGTTTTGGACTGCTTTATCTGGATCCGCCACGTACCGTCCCCACGACAAGAGAAGTCCCCAAACTGTAGCGCTCTAACCTCGCTTACCCGTATTAATGCCGTAAAGGCTAGTAGTATACAGGTGGCCGTAACCCAGGGGGTCCACTCTGAGCGCATACGCGAGGATGAGGTCGACATCTTCTCTGGACGCCTTGCTCCGATGTTTCACTGGGAATCTAATCTTCTTGGCTCCCCTCAGGAGCGCCCTCTGGATGTCCGCGTCGTCCTGTGGAAGGGGCCCGAAATGTGCAAACGCGGCCACATGATACCCCAGTGCTCTATCCTCCCCATTATGGATAAGATGGGCGAGGAAGATGTCCCGTAACTCGAGGAGTTCCCTTGGTCCACCAATTGGCCAAAGGTCAGGAAACGGGTTTTGACTATTCTATATATAATGAGCATTCCTGGCGCTACTGAGTTATCAATACACTTCTGTATTATCTCAGCCACCTCCGTTAGACCTCGCTCTGCTGCTAGGCTTGCTCTCTCCGATGCCGCTCCGAAGCGAGAAGCCAAGGACCTAAACGAGCGGTGGGCAGATAAGTGTCAGAAACGTTTACTTGCGGGTGGGAGGGTGGGGTTACTACCAAGAACGAAAGCCGGAATGCGGAGGTTTCCTCTCCTCTTACGAAAGCAGCGTGGCCGCGACGCGGCTGGCCTCTTGGCAGTCTACCAAGAGACGCTGCTCGTATGTACCCGATCCGCTCGGGCCGCCTTGGTGGCGGCGAGTTGCGCGAAATCCAACACTCCATTTTCATCTCCGATACTCTACGACGAAACCTCCGTTTTGTATTCACGCAACTCGACAACGGAAAGTTTAAAGCCCGGAGGGGGCCAGAAAGACAGCAATGCGAAAGCAAAGTCAAACTTCAACTTTGGGGAAGTGAAAGTGAAACAGGGGAACGGGCCGGGTATGCAGATATTGTTGGGCCGGTATACGGTAAAGAAACTATACGGTAAGATGGAGTATACCTCGCCCTTTTAAAGATCGACTGTGGACCTCATTAAGTTGCGTGCGCTGACCGCTGACCTCGCAGTTCCAACGCAGATACAATGTCGAGTTAAACGATTAAATGAAACACCCTATTACACCACCCGCTCAGCTGGATGTTGCTACGCCCTGCGGCAGGAAGTGATCCATGTAAAAGTCATCAAGTTACTATGAGAATTGAAGTTCGTACTTCAAGGGCGCGGGGAAAAGTCAACCAAATATTAGCACTAAAAACAGCAACGATATAGCATTGTTAGGATCCTCTTTTACTTGCCATATACCGGGTGGGAAGCAAATATCCGACAAACGGGAAGCGAATAATTTTACAGCTCTTTTCTGAGCTATGCTTTGTCATCGGAACGCCTATTCTGTTCTGCGCTTTTTGCAACGTTCCGGGATGAAAAGCAGCGGGCTGTGAGACTCTGGAACCCATACCAAGTTGGTAGGATACTAATGATTAAGGAAAAGCAGTGGTACTGCTCAAGGCCCTCAACTTATTGTTAAGACCTTTTGATTTTTGCATGTACGAGTGCAAAGCGAAGAAAGGGAGGGTTTGGATGAGTTCTTCCTGTTAGTAGAGAAAGCGCTTTTTTCGAGTACCACATCACTCTTCACTGTTCTGAATGAGTTAGTTAGTAGTGAGGAAGTGGACGGGGCATTATCATTCAGCTCGAATTGTAAAAAATGAAGTATATGCATGGGCTAAGAGTTTTGCAAAATTATGAAGATTTTTCTTCTTTTTTTGTGCCATATGATACGTAGTGTAGTGATAAACTCTTCCATTGACGCCACTACATATATTCAGCTGAATCGCAGGAGTAGTGGAAGGTCGATTTCAACAGGGGAAGTGATATGGGAGCATTAACAGTGAGTGGCAGAAAGTGGCAGCAAGTGATTGGGGCAGAGAAAGTGCGTTGCCGCCGTCTTCTTTCTTCAAGGTGGTAGAGCTTATACAAGGAAATCATGAAGGTTTCGTGTTAGGGCATTGATGACGGGTAGGCAGTATATCAGTTGATAGGGAATAGTTACGGCTATCTTCACATTCTTCACGAGTATACTGCTAATTTCTATTTAAAAGGCTATTGGCGAGGGGTGAGTTAGCCCAGGCAATTATCTGAGGTCATGCCACAGGCAAGCTCAGGCGATAGATGGCAGGGATCCTGTTGCAGTTGCCTCGCCGTACACCGGCCAACAATATCTCCCCTGTTGTGGAGCTTGTATTGCACGTCGGGTAGCATAGCTTCTTTATTGTCGTGACATAGGGAAAACAACCGCAAACTTCGTGAACTGAACCTCACTCTGTCATGAGTGGGGCTTATATATCACACTATGATATGAGCTTATAGGCGAAAACACTCCCGCCCGAAAAAAAACAGAATACAATTGACATAAATCATAAGATCACAGTATAGCCTGGTGGTCTTCTGTTGTAGCATAGATGATGCGATTCCTATATTCTTGATTGCGCTGATCCAGATGTTTAGAATAGATTTGGATAGTGTTTCTTTTACTGTGTTGACCTTCGTCGTCTTGTACTACCATATATTGGTAGTTCGTGTTGATATTTTCTTTCCAGAGATTATTTTCCCTAGTCTTGTGTTCAGTAGATTGTATCCGTTAGCTAGTAGAGGATTGAACATCGGTTGACAGGATTAGTTGCCAGAAGTGATCCATGCCAATGAGAATGCCTGCGGCTCTATCTCCGTTGATATCGAAAAGTCGGCACGTTCTTCTGTGATAATCGGAAGGTCGAGTGGAGTCGGTAGGGGTTTTGTAAGGAGAGAAAGTGACTGTACTTCCATCTGATATAGGGAATCGTTCGCTAGCAGTACATTTACATCATACTGCTTCGAATGCACTGTCTGGGACTCCTTATTGCCGAATGTGTTGAGAGTGATGTTCTTATCCTTGATAGGCTCTAATCCAAGCTTCTCTGCTACCTCATTTGTTATGTAGGAGTGGGTTGATCCACTGTCAGAAGGGCTAGTGTTCGCACTTCTCTTCTTGTCGTCATTCGGATTCGTCAATGTAACCTCAGTGCACATGAGTAGGATTTCTTCATTGTTCGGTTGCGATGCATCGTGCTCCCTACGCTTGTTGTGCGACTGGCTACTGTGTAACATGGGTCATTTTTCTGGTTTGTTCTTTTGTCGTTTTTGAGTTCCTCTTCAGTTCTTACTTCCGTCGTCTCGTTCGAGAAGTTGACTATGTTCTTGGAGGTGGTGTGTTTGTTATATTGTTTATCATGATCGTATGTATTGTTCATCTCTTTTGTAGACCAGTTTCTTGAAATGTTTTCGGTGAATGGGTTGTTATCTCTATTCGGTAGGACTTTGTTTTCGGAATGTTTTGCTTGATAGCAGAGGGAGGCATGATGGTTATGGCTGCAGAAGTTGCAGGGCGGTCGATCACATGAACTTGTCTTATGATCGCGCCTTAGAGACATATGAACCAAAGCTCATTTTGGTGAGTCCGATCCCGTCTTTCTTCTGGCTTATCGGCATTGAATGGCACTGTGATTCGCTCTGAAGCAAAAGGGGCAGAATTTGCGTGGCAGGTCTTTGGTCCGTTCAAAGTTTCTCGATGCAGGGTTCGTCCTCTACTGTATCGCTGGAGTCATAAGAATTGACGTAGTTTCCAAGTTGCATCAAAGTGGTCTCTTTTCTTACAACTTCCGTGAGCAGATCAACTAACTGACTAGGAGGTGAGGTTCATTTGACCTTCTGTTACGTCGTAGATTTTCGACTGAACAAATCGTGGGAGCTTGTTGTACAGGAGGGCCCCTAATCCGTATTCTGATGTATCTGGGGTGATGAAGTTATACTGTCGAACAAGACGCAACATCTTCAGGTAGAAACCTTGCAGCTGACTCCCTTTCTGGTCGCATTGTGGGAGATTTGCTAGCTCGGTGTAAATTATGTGGCGAAGAACTTGTGGGTTATTGTAAGTTTGAAATAAGATGTCGACTGCTATGTTATAGTCTTCTGACGTTATTGGTATTCCTTCAATACATTCTAAGGCTCGATCTTTTAAACAGCTCTTAAGAATTGAAAACTTTTCTGCTCCAGAGATAGTCATTTTGGAGTGCACTAAGGCGTCATATTATGCCCAAAATGTCGGGAATTCGAGCAAGCCCCTGTGAAAGTGGGCAGTCTAATTCTGGAGGAAAGGGCTGGGTCGAACAGATTCATCTGTGAGGATCTGAGGACACTTTGATGTTGGCGACCCGCATTACCATGATGGTTGCAAGTGCACTCATGTGCTGCTGTTAGAGGATGTTTAATTTCCATTGGTTTCTGGATTTTGTTTGGCATTGGAGGAATTCTCTTTCCTGTCATTCGTTTTTTTTCATATTGCTGGTCTTTGGTTGACGCTTGAATCCGTGGTCGCCTGTTGTAGCTTTTGTATTGCCACGTCGGGTAGCAGTAGCTTTTTTATTGTGGGGTGACATGAGTGAAACACATCCGGTCCAACTTCTGTGAATGACCTACTTTGTTCAATGAGTGGGGCTTGTATATCACAGTATATGTAGTGACATGAGCTTATGGGCGAAAACACACCCGGACGGGCCCCATTGGGGTGCCTGCTGGAAAAATGATAACTTGTCTAATCTGCTAAATCCACGTGTCTCCTTGTCTGAGCAAGGGAAAGAAAATGTTAGAAGGCCACATAGGAAATCCCAAGATGCCTTTGCTACGATGCAACCTGGCCCAACTTAACGTTTTTGGTATAAGATAAGGAGGTGGTACCCACCAGCAGGAAATCTGACTTCCAAAAGCGAGACGACTCTGAAGGAAAGGGTCGATGCCGCTAGCTGCCTCGCAGGCGAATCAAGAAACAAATCTTTCGCATTTTGTCGACTTGGCTGTAGCAAAGAAGTCTACTTGGAAATCTCTTCAGATCTCCTGAGCTCTGCATCCACGAGGTCCGCAATGGACCAATCATCCAAAACTAAAAATTAGAAGGCAAGATCTGTTTCGCCGTTAAGGGCCCTAGGAATCCACACGAAGTCTATGTTAGCGTGCAGGGCATTGCAGAAATCCCAGATCCGAAGAGCTAGACTCTGTAAATCCGCATTGAGATCCCTTTGTTGAGAATGCGTACTGCGCACTGGCTATCCGAGTACCAGATGCAGTTTTGGAGACCTAAAAGCCTGCCGAAGGCTTTTGCGCTGGCTAAAATAGCAAACACTTCTCTCGCCGTAGACGATTCTCCTTGTAGCGCCAATGGAAGAGTGGCTGCTGTTGTGGTTTCGAAACGTGCTCCACGTACAAAATCGCCCCTGACCCGGAGTCCGAGGCGTCTGAAAACACCGTTACGGTGGGCTCAAGGGTATCCAGGGTATCTGTATGGAAATTTCCGATAAGGAATAGTCAAACTTCTTCCGGCTAGCAAACACACTTTTCTCTTCGACTGATAAATTCCAACGAAACGACAAGGCCGTACTTCTGGATTGCTTAGCTGCTACTTCGGTCATCATGTGACGCCATCTCTTATTCAAATCTGGAGGAATTATCAGATGCAATGACGCAATATAGCCTAACCGCTTCAATCTGTCTAACAGAGACGGGCCTCTACTGCCCCACAGCTGATGAAAGAGTGCTCTGATCTTTTCTTTTCTTTCAGACGTGATCCAACTTACGTTTACAAATCAAACACGTGTCCCAACCACGAAATGCTTTGGTCCGGGTCCGACAGCGTTCGCCATGGTGACACCTGCTAACTTCAAATCTTCTCTAACAATCCTCACGGATTCTTCGCATAGCTGTGCGGAACTTGCCCAAATGAGGCCATCATCTAAATATAAGGCTACTTCAATACCTGCCTCTCTCCATTTCTTTAGGAGGGGTCTGAATAGTTTAGTGAAGATGAATGGCGCCGGGCTTAAATCGAAAGGCAGGTCTAAAAATTTGTAAGACTTTTCCCCGCCACTTAAACCAAGAAAACTGGTGAAATTGGGATGCATTTTCACATGATGGTAACCCGACTTAAAGTCGAACGAGACCATGTACCCTCCCTTAGGCACAAGAGGTAAGACTTGCCTACGTCCTATGTTTAACTTTGATCTGAAACTCTTTGTTCACAAAACTAACAAGATGCGAGGCAATGAGCCTTCACCTTCTTACTTTCAGCACTGAAGGCGGATTTATTCTTAGCGCAACTGGGTCCTGGACTTCTTCACAGCTTGGCTTCTCATTAGCTTACTGATTTCCAGATCTACAAAATCAGCATATTGATATGCTGAAGCTGAGTTACCTCTAAAACGTGTTATTCTGTGCTCCAAGCAATTTCGGAGAAAACCATGCAGGTGGACTGACCTCGCACCAAAGGTTTAGTTTCAACCAGAATTGGATATATCGATGAAGGCCCGCGGCCAAAAACTCACCTTCCCTGCTCGTTATTGCATTGTGCACGCCGGTGTCCTAATTTGCCATACTCGTAGCACGTAGGCCTGGATACGGAAATTTTGGGGAGGTGGAAAGGAGCCGTCCGGCCAACATGCTATGTGTCTTGTAAGATGATCGCCACCATACAGAAGGGGATTGGGAGCGAGGCCAGGTGCCTCCTCTTGTCGAAAGGCTGAAAAGCCGCTTACCGTGTAAGGGACTAAGGGTCGCTCCAAGGCGGTTCTGGGCGGTCCTTGGGTTTTGATCTCTCTCGAGACATGCAGCCAGAACAAGGGTTGTCACGCCAACTGCGGCCTTCCATTTGCTGAATCAGAATACAAACTCCGTGATCCTTGTCCGCACTACCAAGAAGTTTCTTTGTGTAAGGGCCGTGGCCTTCATTAGATTGTGCCTTGTCTGGTCTGAAAAAGCAATTAGGCCTTGAGAACCCCCATGAGTTGAACCAAACTGCTTTTGCAGGTTGCTTTTAGGCGCCCACGAGAGAAGCGGCCGAGGCCTGTGGAACGTAAGTGTCTCCGTAGGTCGAGACTGGTGACTGTATATTGGAGCTACACACATGGCTTGACTTCTAGCTAGAGAGCGTCATTAATCCGCAACACAGAGCACCAACGCCTGCTGTGGGCTTGTTTTTTCCTTCAGCGATGCCGATGTTAGGGCGCCAGTTTTGGAATCTATCCTTAATAACCAATAGCTGGACCTCGCAAGCAACTACTTCAGAAGCGTTAAAACTCACTCTAACTGCTGTATGACATGAATCTGACTCAGTGGATAGCTGTCCATGTTTCGACCTATGAACTATGACTAGGAATCATTATAAAACAAATACTCTACAGTAGACAAATCTCGTTACTTTATAGTGGTACCTTATGGCAGAACTGAATGGATCTGGATGAGAAAAAAATTACTCCACCTAAATAAATTGAAAACGGCTCAAAATCTGATGCCGTAAGCTTCAACAGCATATCAGGCCTGAACGAATATTCTAACTGCCCGAATTCCATAGAAGATTGCGCAATCTCAGATCAGCGAGGTGTATTAAACATTAACCATGTACGGCGATCGCCCTTCTGAAAACGAGAGCTATAGAACTTATGAGATTACAATGAAGGCCACTCTGGCCTCGGAAAGAAACGCAGAAAAATTGACAAACTATTAATTCGTGCTGCCAAACCGAAAATAGGAAGGGATGTATGTCTCCTATACTGGCACGGGAGATCCCGTTCTTGAAAACGAAAGCTGAAGAACCTTGTATATATTACAACCGAAGGAGCTCTGCTCGTGCAAAGAAACGAAATTGTACAAATATATTGTACTGCCAAAAATCACCAAGCGGTTGCGGAAATCTAGATCAGAGAGATGATTATTTCCTACCCTTTGTACGGAGATCTCCCTTCTGAGCACAAGAGCTGAACAGCTTCATGAAATTGCGATGACGGCAGTCTGCCTAGTGAAAAAGCGAGAAAGATTACACGAATATTATATGTCGAAATCCAATAGTAGATGGCGAACCCTTGGATCAAAGAGGTATATGTATACTACACCCTGCACCGAGTTAGCTCTTCTGAGAGCAAGGGCTTTTTGAAATTATGAACGAAGGCACTCCGCCCAATGAAAGAAACGAAAAAAAAGCGACACAACTGGTCACTACCAAAAACGAGAGCCGGAATGCGGAGGCTTCCTCCCCTCTTACAAAAGCAGCGTGGCCGCGACGCGGCCGCGTCGCTTCTCTTGGCAGTCTGCCAAGAGACGCTGCTCATATGTCCCGATCCGCTCGGAACCGCCTTGGTGGCGGCGAGTTGCGCGGTATCCAACACTCCATTTTCATCTCCGATACTCTACGACGAAACCTCCGTTTTGTATTCACACAACTCGAACACGGAAAGTTTAAAGCCCGGAGGGGGCCAGAAAGACAGCAATGCGAAAGCAAAGTCAAACTTCAACTTTGGGGGGGGAAGTGAAAGTGAAACAGGGGACGGGCCGGGTATGCAGATATTGTTGGGCCGGTATACGGTAAGGAAACTATACGGTAAGTTGGAGGGTATACCTCGCCCTTTTGTGATCGCCTGTGGGGGTGACCTCATTAAGTTGCGCGCGCCGACCGCTGACCTCGCAGTTCCAACGGAGATACAATGTCGAGTTAAACGATTAAATGAAACACTCTATTACACCACCCGCTCAGCTGGATGTTGCTACGCCCTGCGGCAGGAAGTGATCCATGTAAAAGTCATCAAGTTATATGAGAGCTGAGGTTCGTACTTCAAGTACGCGGGAAAAGTCAACCAAATATCGCGAAATCCAAAACTCCATTTTTCTGCCCCATCTTGTGTGGCTATAGGCGCGGCGTTTCGCAATATGCATTAGCTCCTCCATTGGAGTACCGGATTTCATAATCGTAGTCACACATGAGTGCTTCTAGTTATACATTGCATACTGTCGCCATTCGCAAACCAGAAAAATCGTCATTTGTGAGTACGATGCCGCATGCAACGCCCGCTAGCGCCGCGAATTACGATTGTCTTGTCACATATTCAACCAAACTCGCATAGCCGACAGATCCCTTTTGTTTCGTTTAATCGGTACATAGCGCATTTTCGAGGCTAGAATCATAAGGCAGCGTCCAGACTTCGCGACGGCAGCGCTTCGGTCGCGCGTTCGACGCGATCGATGCGCATGCTTTCAACTGCATCGATCGCGTCGAACGCGCGACCGAAGCGCTGCCGTCGCGAAGTCTGAACGCTGCTTAAGCAGTGGTGTACTGCCATATGCAAGACATCCTGAAGACCTGAAGTGTAGCATCGAAAGGGCTCGGTTTTCTGGAGTGCTCATAGTAGAACTTAGACAAACTCAATGCTCTGCAATGTCGCCTAGAAAAATCGGTGAATTTCTGAATGAGCATTTGACTATGAGTGCTCTGAAGTAGAAACTGTTAGTTTGTTACCTCTTCGATCAGGGCCCTAAACAAGTCTGCAACTGAACTACCGACAAAAGAAAAAGTGAGGTTCAGGGGTAGTCTTGAACAAACACTTCCTCTGGGTGCAACCGTTGAACGCTGAGCGCAGGCGCTAGATAACCTTTACAACGGCTTCAATTCTGACAAAATTAAGTATTACAAGAGTCATCTCATTTTCTTCTCTTTCATTCATTCCCGTTTCCATTTCCATGACAACGAAATATCATCAACTCCATGTTTCAGCATTACAGTTTAGTTCGCTGCGGATGCTGGGGCGTGTTAGTGGAGTAGGCTGAGTTTGACAGGGGCCTATCTATCCTACACCAATCGTCGAAGCGAGCAAGCCAGAACAATTGGTGGAAGACATGTCAGCGCTACGCCGAATCCAATCACCCTGACATGCCTCAGTACCCGTAGCAACAAGACATAATGAAATTAATATTGCAATCTTTTCACAATTGGCAACAAAGGGACGATTTTTCAGATATAATAGCGGCGAATATCACGACGACCGCAAGCACGACTCGTTTGGCCGGCAAACATACCACACCTACGACTCAACGATCAACACAAAACGCGACTATGCCGAGCACAACTACGGCTACCGTTCAGCCTACAAGGACCACACTGGAAGCACATGAAACTGAAGTCGAAGCGAGTGGAGAGGAACCGAGGGAAGACTTTCTGCAGAAAATACAGACAAGTGCTGGAAACTCCTCTCTTCACAAACAAGCGCAAATGCTGAAAACTAATCATATCGCAGCCGGAACTGAAAGCCCTAGCAATGGCGGTAGGCATTTAGTGAGGTCATCTTCTCAAAAACTAGTACACAGTAATGAAATTGATGAGCAATTGCCCTTCACAACCTCAAGAAGCATCACTTCGGAAGAAGATGATGGAGAAGTTGAGAAACATTTGGAAAATGAAGATCCGCTTTTCAACTACACTGTTTCAAGCCACTGTACGAAGGCGATGAGAGCTGAGGCAAGTTTCTTGTTTCCATTAATTAAGGCTGTTGTAGGGATATAGATCAGGAATATTTTACGGTTATCCATGCGCATCCAACCATGGACATTAGGTATGTTCTTGTTCGAGAACGAGGTCATAGCATATGAACTTAGCCTCACTGTGTTATACCATATCTTTTGACAGCCGATAAAACAATTGCTGGAAATTGTAACAGTCCAAAGGAAGAATAACAGGGGGGGGGGGCAAAAAAAAGTCACTTCGATCGAGTCACATATCAGCAAAGTTTTCGCAGCCCAGACAGAGGACGTGGATACGAGTACCAGGGCGGAAGATACCCAAGATGTTCCTCGATAAGCAGGAGCTGGCTCTCGCCCATCACCTTCATGTACACCAAAATATGAAGTCATCTCCAGTAGCAGTCTGACTGGAGAAGACCTTTGAAATTCACGTCACCTCCAAACAGCTGCGAAACTTCTGGTATGGAGTCACCCATGGATAGCTACCTGGAGACCAGTACTCTCGATCTGGAAGACCTCCAACATCGAGCAGCTCCGACAACGTCGCTACGGTCTAGGACATCATCTTCACCACAGTCGCCAAGGCGCGGGTTGATGGTATGGACCGGACGTACCTGGAATGGAAAGACCGATATTTTCTTCGTGGACCCCGGACTGAAGGTGAGCGCTGGCGGTTACATCGAGCAACTCGAATATCCTCCCACATGTCGTCGCCCGTACCTTCTTGGAAACTTTGTACTGCTACAGCATTGGGTGCCACCACATGTCAGAGGGCGTTGGAAAACTCTCGCCTACTTGGAATGGAAGGGCGTTGAGTACCTGAAGGAGATGGAATATCCGAAGTAGGTCACCTGAAAACCCCCTCAATTACCCGGCGGAGTTCAATAGGGTGGTCTACGGTGGCGGAGAAATCGACTATCTCGCTGATCTCAGGCACCACATCGCGGTCCCCCAGAAGGCTGTGGCGGAGTGTCATGATAGTATTTAATATGCTCTTTAATATGGTGGTAGAAATGTCCGATCAGAATTTAATAAAGTGTAACTTATAGCGCCTCGAAAGTCAAGGAAGAAAAGTGACTTTTTTTATTGGCCCCTCAGTAGTAGGAGCTTTCACAATTAGACATTCTCATTGCCATGAATACTATATCGGGAAAGCGTTCTTGAAAAAAGCAGAAGGATCGTTTTTCCAATGAAGGTGTTTGGAAAAAAAATTGAGCTAGAGTTCGGCTATTCATGGGTCACCTCTTGTCCTACTCTCAGCAAATAGACTTCAGCTATAATCCTACGATATTGAAGCTAGAAAGATTTCTTGTTCTCATAATTCAAACCGTCAGATCAATTTCCGTTACAGCTACAAGCTCTTGGAACAGGTACGATTTAACCGCGTGATGCATGAATAGACACAGGCAATATGCTGTATTGGTGAGAAGGAGAGCTTCGCGTACCGTTTGCATACTGTAGAGTGCTGCTTGGCTCGATGCTCAACAGAAAATTCCAGTCCATATATGGTCGCTTTCCGGCGCTGTTTACCGTTACTCCCAACTTCACAACCGAGTTTAGACTGCATTCCTTCACCTGATCACATCACCGGTGTAGCAAGTGTGAGTGTGTGGAGCGAATAAAATATATAGTAGCAATCAGATCAACGGGGCCCGACGGTGGATGGAGCCGGTCGATCTGAGATCGCTCAAAATTAGTCGTCCAACGCGTCCAGCTGCCCTCCGATTGCGCGTTCGTCGCTTTGGCACGTCTTCGTCCCGAATGCCTGACGCTCGCTGGAAACCAAAACATCACTCGCGGACATCGAACAATGAGGCTACATTTTAAGATTAGCTAACTCTCTT